TTAATACTTTATGTAGAAGAAATATTAGGTGGACAGTGAACAAAATGAATTCATTTAAGGAGAAACATATGACATTATAAAGGACAGCTTTGCATCATTCAGTCCTCTGCTGTCACCTTACTTAAAGATCAAATTAATTTGGGATACTTACAAAATTTTGTAATTAATTCTTTAGCCATTTTTTTTTTCTACTCACATAGTTAAAAATCAGATCTTTTTTTGTCACAGGTAGGAAATCCTTCATTCAGACTTCACCTGGCAAAGCCGTAGAAAACAGCCTATGGTCATGCAAACGTAAGCTACCTTCTTCATTCTGAGAGCAAAATATGGCAAAATGTAAATAAAAGATTTGCACAATTTCATTGTTGGCCAAAGTTTCCAGTGTTTACCTCATCATCTCCATTTATTAGAACTAGGCACTAAAATGGAACTGTCTCCCTGAAAGTGAAGTTAGAGCACACAGCTGCAGTCACTCACTCAGTGATACAGACTCAAAAATACCCCAAAACGCTATCTGAGTAAAAAAAGTCATACGCCACCCTTAGCCTCTCATTCTCTCCTCCTTTACATAGAGGCAAGACAGTAAAAGATTCTTACAACACATGGATTCCTAACTTTTCAGTTCCTCTTATTCAAACATATTGCCAGGTCTGTGCATAAAATGTGCTAAATATGGCCTTTACCAAGGCACTGAAAGCATCATGTTTCCATGCTTCTGAGTACATTATGAAAAAAATTTATGGAAAGAAAAGAAACAAATCTTTACACACTAGACTTCTTCGAGCAGAGGGAGAGATGCGGTGGTCCCATGGTTTTGGGTCCAAGACCACAGGTTGGCAGTGCCTCTACAGTGCACTGACTTGCTTTGCTAACAGGTGTGATTTGATTTTTCAATGCTCTTCCCACCAGCAAGGTCATAAATCTCTTCCTGTCTTTCTATGTTTCCTCCATCTATCGAGAGACAGATACATTCTTCATTATATAGAGAGCAGAACAACCATTTAATAAGTGAGCAATGCTTCTCAAACAAGAGATTAACTAGCTACAAATAAACCCTAGAATTTGCCTTTGGAAAACAGCTATTCTCTTACAAAATGAGGCTTTATCTACTCTTAGCCTACCTTTTTCAAGGGCTGCAGTATGAGAAAGATAATATTGAGGAATTCGTAACATAGAGAAGTACCTCCACCTAGTAAGAAATGGCAAGACAACAGGAAAGGTATTGTGCTGCCATGTTGGCACAACAATAACCCCCACAAACTACACTTAATGTCAGCTGTTACTGATGTTAAACCTAAGGTGGACATTCCTAGCAGAACTGAAAATTGCAAAAATCGAGATGATTCTCCCTAATATCTAACACCTGTTAATATCATATCCAGCTTGTTTTAATTAAATTTAAATTAGACTATTTTCTTGCTTTCATTATCACCTAGGAACCCAACAAGAATGCAGTAATAGACTTTCAAGAAGCAGGATGCACATGTAGGAGTTCTGCACTTCAGAGATGTCATAAAGTTCCCAGCAGCATCTCTACGAGACCTTTGAAAAAAAAAATCCCCCTGGAAAAAAATAAAATTCCCCACCACAAAGATTTTGATTCTATCTGACATAAAAAAAAAAGCAGTCCTTTTATATAACCTCTTTTTGGCCTTTTAAAAGGGGCCATGGTCTGTGGTACCATAGGTGCCTACTGAGTTTATACTACAATCTAAATAATTTGGTTTAGGAAGCACTCCCAGAAGCTGAACTGTGATTTAGAAGTAATTTTAACAGGTTTCAAGCTTTCATTATATGAACTGCTTCCTTCAGAGGGGAACATCAATATTTCAGACACAAAAAATGTCTTCCTTTTTCCACTGAATTAGGCCATTACTCAACCCAGCATTATGAAGTAATTTTTCCCAAATATAATATATTGTTAACACTGGGTTACAGTAACTTTAATTCTTAAAGAATTTAGAACAAAATAAAGCCTGCTAGACCATGCACTATTTTGATTAATATATATCAGTAAGTTGAGGAATTTTCTTAGCAAACCTTATGTATTAATTTAGCAATAAATGGTGGATCTGAGCTCTCCATTCAGAAATTGATTTTTACACAGAATTATTTTCCTAAACTTTATGAATACTTTATCGCTTCTCTCTCCTAAAACTATTAACTAGGTCTATTTAGAAATTGATTATTACACAGAATGAGCTTCCTAAAATTTTTAAATACTTTATTTCTTAAAACTCCTAGAAATCTTAACTAGGTCTGTTGCAAAGCACAATGGAATAAAATATATTTTCCTTGGCATTTGAGTGCACATATTTTGAATACTGCAGGGGATTTGGATGAATGATTTAGATTAATGTCGACTGGCAGATGACAACTCAGTTTATGAAAACTTTTGACAACTCAACATTTGTTTTTCCTCTGTGTTGGAGAAAGCACAAAACTTTCTGAAGTGAAGAACTGAGGCAACCAGGTTCACGTTTGCCTGTTGCTTCAGTAAAGCTTTCCAGACCACTTCACTGTAGATAAGTGAGGTCGGAACAGGAATGCAAAAGGAAGTCTCTTACGAGTCAGGTAAGCGTCCCAGTCACCATGCTGAAGAATGAGACATCTCTCTTGCATACAGTGTTACCAGGTCCCTTAATGTCTTTCCCAGATAATATTTTTGTGGATTTTTGTTTTAATAAAAATTAAAAACCTTCAAGGAAATCCCTAAGCTGGCTTCACTGGAACCAGGATTTTACCCTACAGTAACAGCTGCTTTCCATACAAGTAAAATATTCTTTGACTCTTCTGTGAGTTTATGATAGAAGGTTTAAATAAAAGTCTCTGTTCCACAGTTTTGCTGTATACTTTTTCAGTTATTACCTTCGTACTTCAGAATTATGTTATCTCTGCTAATTTATGCAGATTTTGACATTGGACTCTTTACTCAAAGTCCTTGTTCAATCAAACTCCCTACCAAAGGGAGAAAATGAAATTCCTGTACACGTAAAAAATGTCAGACTAGGTCCTTAGTAATGGATTTGGGGATTCTTTAGGGTGAAGGACACTGTTAATTTATTTCCATTACCATATAGAAGTTCACCTTACCATGTTCTGAAGAAAAAACACTTTTTATCTAATAAAATGGAAAAAATGGATTGTTGATTTTTTTTTTTTCCCTGGGAGTGTGTATCAGTGGATGACATTTCTCAAAAGCAGCAAATCAGTGTAGATTAAGTCATGCTCAGCAACTCGGTACAAGTGTGGTTTTGAGATAATATGACCTAAGCCAGAAAGAATGACAAATATCTTGATGTAAAGTCAGAGAGCACCACTGGGCAGACAACGTCACCCTGAAGGTAAAACCCGAACACCCAATCAAAAGCAGTAGGAAAGGCAAGGAAGTTGATCTAATGGCACCAAGGAAACACACACTGTAAGTCTGTTCTTCTCATTATCTTTAGAGTCTGGTAGGAAGGATGCAAGTCTTTTCAGGGCCAGTCTGTGACAGTAAGTGTTTGATGTCTTCCATGTTCAGCAGAACTAGCTGAAAAGTAAGCTACAAGCCTGGCATCAAAATGCTGGACTCAGACTCTTGTTCTGCCCTTAGAAACTTAAAAGTCATATGATGGGGTTTTTTTGGTCTATCTGGGCTCAGATACCAAATCTAGCTACAGTTTAGTACATTTCAGATGGATGATTCCAAAAAGGTATCATTTTACACGTGCCCTTTAGCCTAATCAGCCAGATATTTAAGCACCTCTTCACAAAATCACTGGTTTTAATGATGCTTAATAATAAAAAAACCCACAGAGCATATAGCCGTCACACACCCTTTTTATCTGCCAGTAAGTACAGTTCAGGATAAGCTTTTGGTAAGTCTACTTTCAATGGAAATCCTTCACTCAGAGGCATAAGTATCTCCATGTGGCATATATTATATCACTAAAAAACTCTGTGCTCGAGAGAAGGGTAAGATGGTGGAGTAATACTCTTCTTCTCAGGTCATGTATGTGTAACAGAGGATAAAAGGGACAGTGGAGAAAGGAATGACTAACAGACCAAATGATACCTGTACATTTTAAGTACACTTGGTAGGATTTCTGTTTTGCTGAGGATCCTTTACACTTCTCCACACTGGTCTATATTTTTTTTTCCCTGGGGAAAATGCTCCTGGTACACATCAAAGGCAGCTCTATTTGTAAATCCTGGGAGAAAAAGCTTGTCAAGAGGACATTGAGCTTCAATATAAATGATTACACGAGCTGTTGTGATAGGAGCTTAACAACCTGCATATCTCTGAGTCCATTCCCCTTTCCTGCTGCAGTCAGCATGTGCCTTTCCCCCTAATTGGACCAGTGTTTTTTACTCTCAGACACTTCTAAAATATTAGCATTTTTGTTAGAGATGGAGTAAAAACTGCAGCTCAGATCCAGATGTCCCTGGCCCTTTGGGAAAAGACAGAAAACAGGGGCCTAAGTTGCAGAATTTGAGTATTTTTAACTATTCACAGCATCTGGCTCAGTCACTGCACATTTAAAAATGCGTATATGTTAGCACAATATTTGGTTACACAAAGTACTGCAATGCTCGTTACTGGGACAACAATAGTTGTTTACACTGTGAAGTCAATTTTCATAAGAAGACAGGATAGATATTCAACAGTTTTGAAGTCTGCCTAAGAATTTGTAGAAAATAGGAAAAATGCAGGAAATAGTAAATTTTAAGCTATGTTTCTCAGATTTTGTATTTGCAGTGCTACTATCCCACTCTCCCTGGCAGCAACTTTGCAAAATTTCACACGAACTACAATTCCTCTTTACAATCTGAAATACTGCACTCAGATAAGTTCAAAGACAGGCAGCATATTAGAGCTGTTTAAACATCAGCGTCAGAGCCTGTGTTCCTGCAAGAGGCAAAAGGCACTGGCGCAAGGACTGTCTCAAATATCCACAATTAAAAATATGATCGGGCAGAGACAAACCTGAAAAAAAGAGATGAAACCAGAAACTTACGTCATGACCAGTGTCTCATCTCCAGGTTCACTAAGTAATCCATCTACAAAGACTGAAGTGCTGGTAAAATTATGTGTACTCCAAGTCTGGCCTTCATCTATGCTGAACCTGTAAAAAAACAGAAACGCTTTGCATTTACAACTATTATTATACAAACCAGAATTAATTTATGTGTAAAAAAATCCTCCCGCTACTGAAGCCCAGGATTTACAATCACCAAAATACAATATGCCTGGACAGTATGTCATATTAATGTGATCTTTTTCTCAGCAACATATCCAGAGGTCCACATCTTTATTAGAAGGCATATAACAAATTTGCTACAACAATGGAAATTCTCAGGCAGATAAAAACTGAGGTCTGTCAACAATCTTGCTACCTTGTAGGTTCAAGAGCAAGTTAATTTACACTTCATTCTTTCTAGTAGTCTCTGAGCTAGAAACCTGTTAGGAGGAGGTCAGTGAAACAGGAGAGGCAAACCAGCCCAACTGCTCAAACATGTGTGAGGTGTGGTAACCACAGGCACCAAGATGACGGCCCTCCACAGCTCCTAGAATCAGCTTCAAAATTTTCAAAATATGCTGATGAATCAGCAAAACATATTCCAAATACTCTGTGCACCAAAAATTTACAAATCAAAGTCTCTTTTCTTCTGTTCGTTTCCTCCACGTCTCTGGGATAGTTGGCTAATGATGGCTACCATTCTAGCTAACCAGGTACGTGGACTAGTTATTAGTGTAGAGAGTATTATGCAAAAATGAACCTAGTCACAAGTGATAAAGATCTCTTAGATTTTTCTGTGCTGAAGATAGTAGTTTTCTATGCCATTACATAAGGCTACCATATTTTGTCTCATTATCATGCAGTTTAAAACTTGATATTTTGGAACAAAATGGTTTGTAGTAAATCTTTACTGCTGAGAAGCTGAGAAGGTCATTTGCTGCACTATCACTATGTGACAGGATCTACATATACTACAGTTAATTTGTCCATGAATATCTCAGAACTGGGCTTCTTGCATAATGTACTACAGAGCCCACAAGCGTACATAAATCCTTTCCCCACTGGCTCCTAAAGTCTACATTATATTGTTCTGGCCAGAGGAACTCACAGTTATTCTCCAACACCTTCATTCACCGAGGTCCTTGGACGGGACAGAGCTTTGCTACAGTATGAATGGACTATCCTGACTGGATACCTAAGCCACATATGCATCATCGGTTGAGCATCATTGCCATAAACTGCTGGTGCAAACCAGTAGTAGGTAACAATCATGCTGAACACGGCTTGTACTGTAGAGTTCCAGGATAGCCTTTTAGGCAAAAGTATCTACACTGATGCACGAACATTTTATTATGATTAATGCATTATGCCATGGTACCTTCAGCACCATCATGTAATCTTCAAGAAAACATCCACATGCATTTTGTTGACTTAACAAATGTTAAATTAAGCTGACTCCCCCTGCATTTCATGCATGATCACATCAAAATGGTCATCTTAAACTCTGAACTTTGCCTGAGGTCTTGAACACACAACAGCTCTACTCTAATTGACTGTAGCATTACTTGAGAATTTTCAGAGGGATAGAAGTGTCTTTGATGGCCACAATAACTCCACCATGGTCCAGGTACAAGATGTGATGCTCTTCTTCAAAGACCTACAAGTCAGACAAAAAAGGGCCAGCTAAGCAAGTGTAGAAACCAGAAGAAATAAAATGTATGAGCAAACCATGATTAAAAGACTTGTATGTTTTATAATGTCCACACTTCAAATTGAAAAGGACATAAAAGTCAGTTAACTCTTATATTTCTCCCAGCTGTAGAAGAAAGTTAAGCAGGTGATTCAGGAAATGTTCAGGTTCACATCACAGTCAGATTAAACTGTCTGAAGTGATTTTAGCCCAAGCTGGTATTTCTCATAGTATGCATTCTGCATTCCTTCCTATTATATATCACGAAGTGACCTATCACCCTAAATTGGTATTTGCCATATTCTGTGTACCTTGCAGAACAAAATGCTTTGTAGTCTAATTCTAAGAAAAATAGGAAAAGTATTGCTGTCCGTGACTCTCATATGTTCTCCAGACTGTACAGAACTTGAAATCATTGGTGCAAGCATGTTTTCTGCATTTGCATTGCCAATGATTTATTGAAATTCAAACTACATGTGATTTCACACAGAGGCTACTCTGAGATCTGAACCAAAGTACATGTAATATTGATTTAACGATATAAAGAATTCAAAATTTCCTACATTCTTTTCATTCATTTTCTATGGGTCATCACCAGTACTAAAATAAATACACAGATAAATATCCTCCCTTTTTTACATCTGACATCAGTTTTAAGACAGGGTTTACTCATGTTATTAATCTCTGAAAGTTCATTTAACATAAGAGCAGGTGGTAAAGTGAGAGTTAGTACACACACTTAGCAGTTAATAGATGAACATGCAGCCTCCTACATGCTTTTACAAAGCAAAGGTGAAAAACATAAATGCTACCTTTTCTTCGCGAATGAAAAAAAAAATCTGACAATACTAAATGCTTCTTTTTTTGACAATATTAAAAGCTACATTTAGAGGATTTATCAGTAAGAATAGTTTGAGGAATTTTAGAGGATTTAATCAGAGGGGAGAAAAAGCATCTTCCAGCATATTCACAATTACTTCAAAAATAGTAAGCATATAATTTGGGTTCAGAATCCAGTCTTCCTCTCATCTGGTAAGTGCATATTTTATGGGAATCCTACGGCTTCAAGTGTCTGATCAGTTTTTCAGTGTTGCCAATTTACAGGCGAAATCCTGATATGAGGCATTTACAGTCCTATCTACTTGCTCCACACAGCTGCATATTTTAGAATAGAATTCAGTAAAAAGACAGACATTAATTTTAGATGCACTTCAAAAGGATGAGATCAGCTGGAGTCAGATAAGCAAGCAGAGTTTTGATCCTCCTCTAAACTTTATTTGAACTTCTGCTCAAATCAAAATGAAACAGTATATGCTGGGACACAAAGTCTCCAAAAGCTTCACCATCACACTGAAGGCAAAGGAAACTGGTATCTGCATCCCTTTAAACAAATTGGGTTTTCCCAGATAGTCCCCATGGCACTTCCTCATGCACCATTATTTCAGTACCTCAGATTTAGCACACTGTAAAGCACAGCACATTACAGGCATATTAACGCCATCGTTATATCATGCTCTTCCTGCACACATTTCAAACACTTTATAACCAAAATGTATGAAATTCCTTATGAAAGCAACTATTCCTCTTCAGTACACTGAAAAGAACTAATGATTTCATGCCTGTGGGGTTCAGCACAAAAGTAAATATGTATCTCTACTTTCTAGAAAGAAAACTAAGACAAACAGTTTGAAAAGGATTTAGGCAAAGGTGGTTCCAGTGTCAGAGCTCAAGTTGGAGCCCAGGAACAAGTGGTATTTATGTTCAGAGTCAGGCATTCTGATGTATGCCTTTTCACTAACTAAAGGTCAGGTAACAAATTTCTTAATATCTTTACTAGTAGCCAGCCATTACAGAACTATATTTTTTATAATATATTTCAATGTTTTTTCCTTCTTCTGTAATTTTTTGAGTGTATTATATGCTTTATAATCATAATGTCAACTTCTTTTCTCTCCCTCTCCCTTGCCTCTGATCTCCATATTTTTTCCTGTGTCTGTCCTAACAACTTCAGCAGCTCTTTCAGACCAGGACACCTGCTGGGAGCAATTAGGAGAGCTCCATGAAGACAATGAAAACATGTTTAAATGATCCTAGAAAAATACACTCCACACATTTTACGCTGAGATACAGAAGTAGCAAAAGCAACCAAAAATGCCCTTGCTTCTCTCACCAAGTGACATCCATTACTAAATTCTGGAAACAGGAGGTTTCCTACACAGAATAAGCCAGTTGGACCTTCCCAGGGGTGACTAGGCTGGGACTGCAGTCTTTCCTATTGTGCTTAAAGGTGTTACCATCCATCTCCTAAGACGTCTGTAGAAAAACAAGTGCTCTCGCTTAAGCAAAGGTTTTTCCGAATTGCTTTGATACAAAAGGATTTGACATAGAGAAATAACATTCCAACAAAGCAAGCACTGGACTAAAGTTCCAGAGATCTAGATTAGGCATACAATAGACTTTCTGTGCAACTTTAGTAGCTTAACTGAGCATTTTGTTGCAGCTTTAGCTTCTTTGGTAGCAAAACAAATAACAAAAGGTTTTTACTGCCGATTTTCTCCTTTTTATTTAAGTAATTTCTTTTGAAAGCCGGACCTTTCTCTTACTCTGTTTGCCCTACTTCAAGCACAATATTATAACAGATGCTGTTGAAATAGCAATGGCAACCTTAACTGTGAAGAGAAATAATTTTTTTTAAAAAGCAAATAAAACACACTCATCTGTATACACAAGGTCATAATCAGCATTGGACAGAGTACCATAATATTTTAAAAATCAGGACTGAAAAACAGGCCCTCAGAGGGAAAAAATTGTCTAAAACCTGTATGGTATGAAATTGTGTTCAAACACAGCCCATTTCTCCCAGGATGCAAGATTTATTTACTTAGCCGGCTCCTTTCATGTTCATTAGCACATTTTATGATATTGTTTTCATGGTATAATAGACAGAGAAATCTTCCAAATAGATGTATCTGTGCCACAAGTTTACCTTAGGCTACATCTTCACGGTTCACTTATAATCTAAGCCCATGTCGGATACCGTCAAGGTGAGATTCCCTTCTCCTACAGGCCTGATCGCTGCTGCTGCTGCATGGAGGTTTAAGCTTCTTGTCAATCAGTTCCCAAACTACAGCTATTTAAAGTACAGTGTTGTACAACACACAGTCACAAATTTCAGTTTGCCTTAAAAGGGTATACAGTAGAGCGACAGCTTCAAGAGATACTTCAAGAGATGCTTCAAGCAGCTCTGGCATCATGCAACAAAAAAGCAGAAGAACAACTGGAGCCAGCCCAAGCCATATTGTGGCTACTTGTAATTCTTGTTTCACATTTCCATTTATCACCAGTATTTACTTAATTGCACAAAACACTCCTGGGGGCATTTTTATTTCTACTCATGAATACTGGCTGTATATCCTACCACAGTAAGTCTTTCTAAACCCCCATGTGACCTTATCACATGCAAGCTATGGAAATATGGACTCGGTTTGTGTTTTAAGTGTATACAGCTGGTTAAGAAATAATGGAAGGAAAATTATCAGTAGATTGTTGTTAAATTGAGAATGTATTAGATTCAGGAACTCAGGGACTGCTTCCAGTTATGAATCACAGACTGAATCTGAGTCAATGATGTGATGCTAGCGCAAAGAAGAGAAATCTGAAATGAGGTGACAGTAATGTCAAGACATCAAGGGCAATCGTTTCATTATGTTTAGTACTGATAAGATTTCTGATTTTGCATCCAGTTTTACCATGCTTCAGGAGACGGATGTCATATTAGCTAGTCAAATCAATGAACAACAAAAAGGAAAAGCACTTTAGAAATTGGATCCATTAAAAAAAAATCAGTGAATTTGATTTTACTCTTTTCCAAGGGGAAAAAAACACCTGTGCTGTAGGTAGACATAATAATCACCTTTCGACATCTGAAAAGTTATTCAGGGGTGACAGGACACCACTCCTCTACAAAGACAAGAAGAAATCAACTTACCTTGCAAAATTTGTGAAACTGCAAGAGTAACAGCAAAAACCATGGCCAGCTTATGTTTAATATTCAGAAAAACCTATGAAGAATGGTGAAACACCACATAGGAAGACTGCAGAATCTCCTACAGTGAAGGATTAACAAACAGGTCTGGCAAACCTCTGTTAGAGATGTTCTTAGCATGTTTATGATGTCTTAGAGCACCTGGTTGGATTACATGATCTTTGACCTTCCTCCCACTTCCATATTGCTATGAGTCAATGCTGCTATTATTTCAGGAAAGCTTTTAATTAGTTCCTTGAACTGCTTTTTTTCCCCAAGTCCTTTATATTTACTTTTCTGCATTGCTCTGCCACTACTGAAGCACAGACTGCTCTTCTTCTAGGCTGTTGACAGCTCTGCAGTATAATGTGTGGCATGTGAGAAAGGTGACAGGCACTCGCTAATGACAACTGCAAAGTTTCCAATTCAGTGACTTAAACCCACCCACAGAGCTGTGCCAAAACATGAGCTTTGCTCTCCTTTTGCCAGCTCAGAAAACCTGTAATTTACTGTCTAAACAATTCCCATATCATCTGACTGAAGCCTTGTCTTTTGTTGCATGAACTCCAACAGAGAAAGGAAATGTACTGCTGTCCTCTGGAACAACTGTTTGATCATAAACAGCGAGGCCATAAAATACATACAATAATCAACATTTTCATTCTAATGGCAAACACTGAGTAAGTTCTAGGCTTTGTGGTAGTTTTAATTACAAAGCCAGCTATGATGCTTTACATTTGGACTGTCACAATGAGGAATCAGTTTGTGCCTGGTTTTGCAGCATGAATAGTCATCTTAAGGTCAAGTTTCATCACATATCATTTGCCTGAGTGTCACACAAATAAAAGCAGTGAAAATACGAATTTGGCCCCCTTCCCCCTTTCCTTTTTTTTTTTTTTCCCCTCCAGAAAAACCATAGAACTTTGGAACATGGTGACAGTAAATTATTAGAGAGGTCTCTGTGACGTATTAGACAACTCAGTACCCACTATAAATACTGGAAGACTTATGCATCTAAACACCTATTTATCATCTGCTACAATTCAAGAAGGAATTTTGCATAAATTTTTTTTTTTTTTAAACCTCAAAGGCCATTATCATGACAAAAATAGTGTATTTCTTTTAAAAAGTCCTTCTGTGGAGTATTAATGGCATCCTACAATAGCAATATAAGACACTGTTTGTATTTCCCTCTTTAGAAACTCACACTCCCTGAGCTCAATAACACTAGAGAGAGCATTTTCACACTTACTTCTTCTAAGATAATAACACAACTGAATTTTGTTTCAGCTGAACACTAAAAGACTATTTTAACTGAAATTAAATTACTTTTTGACATACTTTGGTGGTTTGAGTGCTGTTTTATTCCCGGGTATAAATTATAAGTAATTCCAGAGCTTCCTTATATTTTACGATCATGACTGTTGTTGCTATTTACACTCAAAAAGAAAATATCCCTGTGTGTAAACACTGGTTAGACAGAACAATTTAGGAAAAAATACATAATAAATGCACGGTGTTTAAATTGACACAAGGCACTGGAAGGAAAAGACATCCAGAATTCAAATGATATTACAGCTACTACAAGACTTGCTATAAAATACTTCCGATGTTTGCAATTCCAGAATTGTTTAAATCATACTAAAAGACATTCAAAGATTTACTGCTTTTTGCAAACTCTCTTTACTTTCTCAGTTTCAGTGGGGATCAAAGTTTAAGCTTAAATACCAGTTTTCAGAGTATGAAGAAGTAGAATTTATTTCTTTTTACCTAAATCATGCCTTTCAGCTTTGAATATTTGTACTGCCAGATCTAGACGAAATCCACTTCATTATTAGCATAGGAAATAATTTAAATTATTAAAAACCTAAACAGACTCTATGTTTCTTTATTCAAGATACTTCTAAAATCTTTAAAAAGATTAAAATATTCAAGATTCAGCAGAACCTGACAGCCCGACCAATTTGAGTTTTTGCAAATGATCTCCTTAATCTTTCCCAGTTTCCAAGTGAAGTGGAGATCATAATAGCCACTTCCCTCAAAACAGTTGGTGTATAAAGATTAGTTAAGCATTATAGAATTAATTGTACTGGGTACATTAAAATTATTTCCAGGTGCCTTTGATGATTCCATTTCCTACCTGACGCCACGTTTTCCCACAGTCAGACGTTATGTACATTTCTTCTTTATACTCAACCAGCTGGGATCCCAGGTTACCTGTCACGAAACAGGAGGAAACAAGGGTTGCATCCACATGAGCAAGAGAGATGGGATTAGTCTTGACCCTAGTCAGAGTGTGAAATTCCTAGGTCAGAGCAAGAACCAAACTCAGATGGTCAGCAGGCTTATTTCATTTCTGGTAGCACCAGATAAATATTTTAAAAACATGTATGTACACTTTTAACTTTTTCCTTTACATTTCTAGCTATGCACAGGTGGGAGCGATGAGACTTAATACTAATACTAAAAGAGGTGAAACCAACACTTCACTTTTGTTGCTGCATGTTGGAAAATTATTGTAGAAGAACACATATTTAAGATGCAAGTCTGAAACACCCATAAACTCAGAAGCCATATCTTAACCTTAATCGCATTCTGTAAAGTCATTCATCTTGAACTTGAATTGTTAAAATAAAAAAGTTTTATCTGCAAGACTTTACGGCAAAGTAGCAAAATCTAGAATCTGGAGAAATACATCACACTGAAAAGAGGGGGCAGGAGGTTTTAAAAAGTGTGTAAATACAAAAGAATCTAAGCAGAATTACCTATTTACCTAAATATTCACCAAGAAGCTACTGAACATTTTGACAAAAAGCACTGAGGAGCAGCAGCTAGTATTCGGATTATTGCAAAGTAAACAGAAGTGTTAAAACAAACTTGTGGAAGATGATCTCAGCAGATACAATCCCAAATACTGAGATCTCCATCTTTTAACGTGCAGTATTTCAAATAGTAAACTATTAAACCACCAGACAGTTTACAGTATTCTAGGGGAGAAGCAATCATAGCACAATATTCCTTCTAAATGATATTCTGCAGGGATTTTCACTTAAATATATGGTTTGCATGTTTTTACAGTATAAATAAGATTGAAGTTATCAGATCCTCCTAAGCAGAAGAGATGAGGAAAGAAAACACTTGAGGTTCAGATAGCGGTATGAAATTTCACTTCTGTGTTATATAAATAGCTGGTTTTAACCACCAAAACAGATCTGTTTATGCAGAGTGCACTCATTAGTGCTGAAAGGTTCCTGAGAGGAATGACGGCGCCCACTGCCCAAAATACACACACTATTTGGACTATAAGGATTGCACATGCTCCACTGCTTAATGGTATAAACTCTACATTATTTAACCCTGAGCACAGCCTAGATAGGGTTAGAGTATGTATGTGGAATCAGGAAATTTATAGTCCTTTCATTTCTTTCAACTTCATCTAACATTTCAGAAGGCGCCACTGTCCCTTCTTGGGTTTTCATCTTCCTAACCCTCTTCACGCTCCCTCATTTATCAAATAATTCAGCACATCCTTAGTTGGCTGTGTCATTTTGAAAATAAGACCCCATTCTTGCAGGCAATGAGGACCTCTGATAAGGTCAATACAGTAAGGATGAAGGAGACGTGGACTGAAGACATAGTTAAGAACCAGGATCATACGGAGGAAGTGGATGTAAGACTCATAAGGAAAAAAATATGCCAAAACCAGCTTGGACTCAAAGTGCAGGGATGACCTTCATGACTACTATTAGATGTGACAGCAGTTGTACCAAGTGGGAAGAAGGAATGAGAAATGGGTAGTTATGAACAACTCCCCTCTTTTTTTTCCCTTGCAAACACCTTCATCTCCAAAGCCAGCCGACCATTAAGTCAGCACTGCCTCACCTTCCCACTGCTCTGCCTGCTGACTTGGTCCATGCAGTCAGGGTAGCGAGGGCCATCATACAGCTTCCCAAAGGGGTTATCATTTAAGAAATAGATTAAGCTTTTGGGTTTTTTCTGTCCAATAGTCCCTGGAAGATTACATATTTTAGTTACAGTCACATTGCGTTCATGTAGGCAGATCTTCCACAACAAGAGGAAAAAAAAACCCGCAAAATTAAGCATGATTAAGTCATAAATATTGTCTAATGAGTCGAATGTAAAAAGAAAGCTTCACATCCGAGTTCAGCTATATTCTGTCCCCTAAATTCAAGTTAATTTAAATCTATTTGGTTTATGGCCATTTTCAATTTATTATGCCTTTGACTCCTAGACCCTCATGTAAGCAAAGATCATGAAACATGATCTGGTTTTCCTGAATCTCACAGATCCCATAAGCAAGTAGGACTAGATCTCATCAGCTATGTGTAGCAAAAATTTATCTGGTCACTGGAAAGAGTTTTGAATGAGAAATCACCTTCTTAGGATTTGTAGAAAGGGAAAACTGATTTGCTCTTTATACAAAACTCTCTTTTTTTGCTGTTCTTACTTCTTTTATATATAGTTTTCACTGGTGTATGTTTCTGCAAATGGGTATATTCTTGTGCTTCTGCAGTTACTCACAGAATTTTTTCTTTGGGATAGCTAGGGATAGAAATACTTACTTCCTTGCTAGAACTTAAAGTATTGCTGTCAGCCTACACCCTTCTTTGCAGAGATACCTTCAATGAGTGCCTTGTTAGTTTTGTTCCTGGATAAATGCTGTTTATTCTACCTCTTTTTACCACTTACTGAAACCTGCCTATATGCATAAGTCTTTGAGAACTGCTATGGATCTGCACTTTAAAAAGTGCAGTGGTAAATTGCCTTAGCTAATGAAGAATTGGTCTGTAAACGAAACAGTATCAACTTGTGCTCCATTAGAAAGATTCTTTTATATCCAGCTGATATGGTAATGACTGAAAGATATTAGCAACAGCTTTGTAACTGCCACTCTGTAACAAGACAGACATGACTTCTGGTTTTTTTTTTACCTTTATTGCCTTTTCTTGGTAAATGAGCAAAAAGAGTTTGTGGACTCAGTTATAATTAGAGAGAAATGCTGTTCTGTCAAAAACCACAACTGCTGACAAACTTGGCGTAAAGACTGGTGTAGTGCTTTGGGGAAAAGGACCTCACTGCCCTCTGACCTTTGAAAGTAGTCTGTCCCCTGGTCAAGGGCGAAAACCCAGAGGGTGTGCCTGCAGGAACTTCTGATGGCTGACATAAGGTTCTCTGCATTAATGAAGGCTGTAATTTCCACTACCTTACAGATCTTTTAGGAGACTCAATTATATAACATAATTTTGCAAACTTTATAGAGTGTTCAAGCACACAAGGAAACCTTTTCTCTGAGGTTCTTTTTTGATTTTCTCTACCCACCTCATTTGTCATGTTACTGTATTAAGCCAGTTAACCAGACAAAGCACATGTAATAGCACCCTGTAAACCCCTTTACAACAGCTCCAACTCAACCAAAGGAAATGCAAAAAGTCCTGGCATTAATAACATCACAAACAAATGACTACAAAGTCACAGGAGCTCTCAGAAAGTACAGCTGAAACATCCTGAAAGTTTCCATGCTGTACCTGAGGCAAATTATGACCCTTATTTGTGTAAGTTTGGCAGCCAGTAACACATGTGCAGAACTGACATCATGATCAAGTGATACAGGTGAGAACCAGCCACATTATGTTCAGCCCCAAGACTAGAAGCCAATACTTCGTAAGCTTTGTAAGAGTTTGTAAGAACCATTCCCACCACATCCTGAAGTGTTCAGACTGTACTGCAGATCCACAAATATCAGTGTGCTGTTTGCCTGGTGAAACACACCAAAATCTGTGCTCCTTATTGCAGCTTTAAATGTCTGCAGTAACTCCTCAGGTGTGCCAGTACAGCATAGCAATTGTTTTTAGTCATTCTCTGTTAGATCTCAAATTCCATCTGTGGTAACAAGTAACAGTAACGTAACAGACTGAAGGCAATTCATGTTTATATTCAAAAAGTTACTGCATCTGGAATGGGTAATCAATCGCAGACGTTATTAGCTGGGGCTATAAATTATATCATTTTAATATCACTTTTTGATCTAAATTGCCTGAAAACTCTTCTGAGACGTGACACTGAGTGTTTTGCCACCTCAGTTCAAGGTTTTGTTTATAATACAGAAGTTTCTCAAGTTTATCTTATATTATTTTATATTATTCTTGTAGCTAAATGACACGAACAGGAAAGATGACTCTTCAAATTACTGTGAGTGTGCTTCAACTTTTCTTTCTACATTTCCCATGGAATTTTAAACACATTGTTTTAAAAGGCAGTTAGAGATTCATCCTCTGTCCCTAATAAAGGGAAGGCATTATTGGCAACACCGTCCATACATAAAATAAGGGAAGGTCAGAGCCTGACCTACAGCCCTGAGACCACTGGCATGACCTGACCACGTTCAGGTGTTCCTGCAATTTATTGCTGTGAGATCCCCCCACCCCTGCCAAGTTCAAATTACCTGAAATGACATGAGGGTTATGTTACAGGCCATGAAAAAGGCATTTTCATGTGATGAAACTGAGGATGTGTGCGGCATGATCCCAGTCATGATGGACATGTCTGAGGGTAGAAGTTCAAGGTATGATAGCTCTGTTAGGCTTTATCGGTTAAGGAAAGGTAAATCTGGTGCTGTCTTGACTTATCAGAAACAGTCTTATTTGTGTGCCTTCCTCCAAACCATGGTCTGGGGGACCATATACAACTGAATTGTTCTTAAACACATCCCTAAAGGCTTTTATCACCAACAGAGCAAGGATACTGTGCTAGATGGACTCTTGACCTAAGCCAGTATGGCTCTGCAGTTGTTACGTTCTGATGCCTTGCTTCTTACAATTAGAAAATGGATGGAAACATTTTGGTCTGAATTTCAGATTTTCTGATTAAGCACAGCCACCTTTTATTTCTAAGACTTGCATTCTTATAAAACTTTTCAAACTGTGCTTTGGGAGACAGGAAATCTGTTTTGTTTATTTACTTGTCCTGAGTAATAGCTAATTTCAAAGTAACTGAATAAAATCACACGTTCCATCCCTGCAGGGTACCAGCCCCAAAAACTAGAATACAGACGACTAACTACCCTTCAGTGTATTTCTCTGAGCTATTTGTAACTTCGCACATGCTAGTTTAGCAGCTAGTAACACAGGGATGTGAAAGAAAGCAATGCATTTTCGTGGTGACTAGTAGCCAGCCAAGCTCTGTGAAACGGTGGTATAGCTGCGAAAAACACATACAGATCTCAAGAGAGTAATTAACAAGGCATTCTGGCAGGTTCTTACTGGGTCACAAAAACATGGGAGATTACCTTGATTTACAATTTACTATTAATTTTCATGTTTAAGTGCTACTTATCACTGCATTTACCCATATTTTTACGTGTGATTTTAGACATGCTTACTGCGAGAAGAAATAATCCGCATATGCAACACTCTGATAATCCTTCTAATATGGATAATCTTTTCCAGCCACTTAAATTTAGCATACAGGCAGATACCTACTCCAGAAAGAGAGATCTACTTTTCCTAGATTACTGGTAATTAATACAGCTGTAACATCACTTCAGCCAATGCACAATAAACTAAAATGTCATGGTTTGTAAACCTGTAGTCACAGTGCACAACAAGCACACAACCAATTCGTGTTTAAGTGTCCCAGATAGACAGCTTTTGCCTGGCAAACTGAAGATGTGTTAAGCTGAGGGAGTGATCCAAGCCATCAGAATGGGGGAAGATATGATATGACAAAAAAATCCAAACGAATTGCAGCATCTTCGCTTCAAAATGCACTGGGAAATGCTCAATCATCTCCCTGCTCCCTCATCCTTTTTGCAGTGTCAACCTGGCATGCTACTTCTGTGAAAAATTCTATAAATTTATCACAATGTACGCAGTGTATTTAGGCCTAATATGACAAAAAGTAGTTTCCAGCACTTCCTCAGTTCATGTGCAGAATTTACTGCTTGCTTGATTTGCCATCTGGATTGGAAGCTAAGCAGACAATTATTGTAAACTAGAACCTGAAAAATCTACACTTCTCTAAACATTTTTCATAGAAAACTCGTTTGCAGGTTTATAGTAAAAATTTACACATCAATTGACACACATTTCATAGCTGATGCTGTGAGAAATAGAAGCTGTTGCCAAGATTAAAATGCACAAAAATCAAATGTAAATGCAAAATCCTCTTACATTTCTAAAGGGAGAAAAGTAGTTATTTAAAAGAACACTTTAATATGCAGCTATGAAATTTAATATTCTGTCTGCATGTTTTACATATATACATAAGCTAAAAATATGCATTCCTCAGAACTATTTATGCATCTTTAATAGAGTGGAATTTTTATTGGTAAATACGAGTTTAAAAAGATGCAGTTTTAACATCCTATTACTGCATTTCTCCCAAATGCTCTAGGCGTTAATACTATTCACCATTTAATTATTTTTTAAATTAAGACAATATTCAGTAGTCCTTGTGCTCTGAATTTCAAGCACAGTAGCAAAACCATCCTTAAGTCACAGATTAGGTTTTCCATTGACACAGGCAGGTGTGCTGTATAAGCTTTCTTTAAAGTAGCCAAACTCCATGTCTGAGGGCTTTTTTTTGGTTTGATTTTGTTTTTTGGGTTTTTTTCCCCTTTCTGATTGATAACCACACTGCTCTTATTGAGAGGATGAACTTCATGGGTCTTATGGTTGGAAATTGTTTTCTAACTTCCAGTTCTTGTCCACTCGTTTACATCACTTGTTTCTACACCATGGTTACATTTTCAGGAAGAAAAATTGTATTCTTTCTCATCCTTGATTTTTTTCAGCTAATGAGGTTCCTCTTGTAAATATTCTCTATTTCCATCAATTGGCAAGTAGTCCTTCTTAGCACCTGCTCATTGGTCCTGAAAATTAATGGTCAGAATTGTACACATTCCTATTAATAAGTTTGTTGTACAGTATTTTGCCAGAGTATTAATATTTCCCCTCTCTCCATTGGCAATTATTTACCTACTTCACCCTCAGAACACATTTTCCCTTTCCACAGTACAAGGCATCGATGGTTCTTAGACACACTGTGATCAACTGACATTCACAGATCTTTATCATGTTCAGTCATTTCCAGAAGATGTGCTCTCCCTAAATCTAAAGAATTAAAATTCCAATAGCATGTGATGCTGCTCAAATAATCTGATTTCTGTAGGCACTAAGAACGTAGTATTGCTGTTGATTTGCATAAGATTATCGGTTTCAAGGATCGGGCCAGAAGAAATTCAAACTCATTGTATGTAAAGTATTTCTGATAAGAAGTGTACATTTACAAGGATATCAGGTTTGCCAGATAAGACCGAACATGTGCACTGAATCCAGATGACCTGAGCATCCAAATAATGTAAATGCAAGTCAAAATCAGAGTTGAATCAGGTTGTCCGTTGGCACGGGGATGCAGCTGCTCTTTACAATTTTAAGACTTCAAAATACATTCCTAGCTCTGTCTGCAACTACATGACCTTCTACCAGAGGAAGGATGTAATGCACTACCCTTGGGCAAATTTTTCCCATTTTCACACCATCCCTCCCAGTGTTTTAGCCAGCTGCTATGAGTGACTGTGCCTCTCCACCATTTCTCTTTCATTATAGGTTGCTCCACAATCAAGTCACATTTAACAAACCTCAGTTCTTAATGATATCTGGATGGCATCAAAAAGGTTCCCTCATGTTCACCTTGAGGAAAGTTGTTGACAAGTTCACCTTCCCAGCATAGCAAGACAATGTCACAGTGATAAAATCTCACACCTTCCTAGGAAGGGAGGAAGGGCAAAATAACCTCCAACCTGCCATCCCTAATATCGTCACAGAGAACAATGCTCTTAAACCCAACCAAAATGAAACAATCCAGTGTCTCAAAAAGTATCAGTTCACCACTTCAGATTATAATGCAAGGACATAGAAAAATGAAAGAGAAGTAACAGACTAGTTAATTAAACCTCATTGCTTGATTTGCTACAAGGCATTCAGGTACAATATGATGAGGTGAAGATTAAGAACCTACATCAGAATAGGAGTACCTTTATGTAAAAAAAGATCCCTTAACTAGAAGCTATTTTTTCAAATATTGGAATTCATAAAATGTGAATTAAACACGTAATAGAAATGTATCTACAAGGACACTATATAAATTCTTAGCCTCATTCTTGTCAATAAAAACATAGCAGCATTTCACCAGGTAGGTCTGTCTCCAGTAAAATACTTTAAACTCCATTTACACTAGGGGAAAACTTGAAATCTTCAGTTATATTGAAGTAATGGCAGCTGTCAGTCTCTTTCAACAACAAATATGCTCACCTTGATAGTCTCAGGAAATTTTCAATTTAGTAAGCCATATATAAAGGACTAGTGTAAGCTAAGGCAGAAAGCATTATTGATTAAAACCAGATATACTTTCAGGAAAAGATAAACAGTACATGTGTGCATTTCACTTAAACATAATCCATAACATAAGAATAAAAAAATGCAATTTAAAAAAACTCTGAGAACGGTTATCATTTCAATAATTTTGAAACAAAGAAACATATATTAAATTACAAGAATAGGTGAATCACAAAGATACAATGTAAACCAGTTACATGAATATATTTCTTGAAGAGTAGTCAACATTGCAATAGGATTTCTTTTATTAAATGCCACTTCACAGTACCGTTGGCTGTATATGTATGTTATAATGGAGATGCCACAGCCAGCACTGTTGTCATTTCATCTATCTTTAGGAAAAAAGGGAATTAATAAAAATTATGTGAAAATTCTCTGTATCAAAGCATAAAGAACAAAGGCATGGTCACTGCTCACATCAGTTTATTGGATTTGCTGGGCTATTCATGATGCTGGAGGCCCTACACCCCACTTCCACAGAAAAAGAGAGCAGGACAAGTCCTTCAGCCACCATCATTCCTCCACACTGCACTAATAAGGAAGGGGATATTTCACAGCCCAGAGAAGTATTCTGTTACATGTCTGTCCAAAAGACACAGCTCTGGAACTTCAATTAACTTTTATTAAGTGTTCAAGAGATCCCATGAAAGAGATCCCATTCTGCATGAAAAGCCTTATATTATCAATGTTTCTAGCATGGTATGGTTACAAACCAAAAGACTAGATCTATAAAGAACTGCTGCTACATTTCAGGTCTTAAAAAATAAATCTATGCGTTTACCTGCCCCCATTATGAGCCCTGGTGCAGTGTCCTTCGTATGGACTGTTCCTGAAACATAGGGATTGTCTGCCCAGCGGAGATGGAGGTGAAGGTAGCAGTCAGGCTTGTGGGGAGAGAAGATGACAGGTTTTAAAAAATCGCAAACAACTGGTAACAGTTATGCTTCTATCATAATGAAAACCCAGTCAGAAAGCAGCATCTACAGTGTATGTCTTTGTGGAGAAAGAGAATGGCTATTTCCCATGGAACCAAAGTCCAGTCTGAAATACTAATCTTAGTTATCCAACTAACAAGAACCTTTGATGATGTCTGCATCGTCTGCCACTGTCTCAGCAAAAAGATTTCTAAACTCAAAAAAGTCAGGATGAAATTATTGTATAAAAAAAAACAAACAAAACATCGTGACCGAACAATTGCTTAGAAATTATAACTAACAGCAACAAGTATTGCATGGTTTTTAGTCCCAGGTAACTGATACAATGATGATTAAAAACAACTGTTTCTCGTAAAGTAGCATGTAAAATAACATAATGACTTTGAACACATCTGATCACGTCTCCTCGGTAACCAGCCTAGTGCTTCTTGCTCTGGGCAGCAGCAACCAAAGGTCGTATCGCTCACAGCAATCTGACCAGGAGCTTTACCCGGAGCAGGCTGCCAGCACTGCCTGGGAGCTGCTGCCACTGCAGTCCCTGCACTCGTCTCAGAGAGCTCCGGATCAGGCCCTGCAGGCTTGAAACACACAGCATCGTCTGAACTCTTGGAAAGGGAGCCAGCACCTCCAGCTCTCCATTTCTGTTACATGGAGAGGGATCAAATCTCTGTCAGTGGCAGGCCTAAAAACATTTATTTTGCTGAGCCTGGAGTCCCCAGGAGCAGAAGGTCAGTGAGCAAAACACAAGGTTTTCAGTACAGCCACAACAGTAACAAAACAGTATGGGTAGCTGGGACATCTAAACAAAGGGAAATAACATCATCTTACAAAAAAAAAAGCCTTTTTCATGCAGTTAACTGTAGCATGTATTTCCCAGCAACTATCAAGAGTTCCCTTTAACAGGGAGCCAAGAGTTACCTTGGTTTAACATGAAACAAAATGATGAAAGATAGAGCTTACCAATACATTTTCTCTATGCAACTGATGATGTGGTCCTTATATCCAAACTCAAATGACTGTTGTCATGATTATTCTGAACTGGGTTGGGTATTTGACAAACAAGAACGTCCTCTTTGTGTCAAAATAAGATCCACAATAAGAAATGCAGTGCAATGGAAAGTCATGACAACTGACTCTACCAGATGACTGGACCTTACCAGTCCTTACCTTGTAAAACCACAGCTCATGCAACACGAGTAGATTTGCCTACTAGTTTGCCTAGTAAACCAAAAGCACAAAGTTCTTGGGTTGCTGGAACTACCACACATCCTACCATAAAACAGTTCTTGTGCAGGAAGTATAGGTGAAAAAGAACCACTTACAGGTTTGCAGTTTGTTGGTTTGCCATTCATATCAATGTCTGGAGGGGTTAGAAAATCCCAGTCACGGCCTTTGTTGTAGGTTATCAGAGTTGTAACTTTCCCATCAATTTTCTGGTTGGCCAGAAAGACTCCTTTTACACCTCTGACCTGAAGCATACAGGAGAGAGGGTTAATGACCAGCACATACACCTTTTTTCAACACAGATTATTCTTGATTAGCTGCTCTTCTGCCACTCTGAACGTGTAACTCAAGTAGTTTCTCCACTAAAGAAGTAAAAAGGAAGTCAAAAGGATAAGAGGAAATGTAGAATGGGAGAAAGGGAGGAATTACTAGTTGATTTGTATTTCTAAATGTATTATAAAGGGTATAGAGTCCTCTCAAGGTCAGAAGGCTAATCAAATTATATGTAGTTTATATAGCAAAATACAAAAATTATGATAGCATGGCCTTACTGTACACTAATGTTAAAGTTACAGCTCTTTTTTTTTTGTTTGTGGTGTTTGTTTGTTTGTTTTTTAATATGGACATCTCTCTAATGTTATTCTATGATGAGTGCTCTTGTTTCCCCTTGTGATTATTTATGAGGCTTCTTGTATTTTTGAAAATTTCTTAAAAATGTGTATTAACTCATACACCATTTCCAGCACACTAAAGCTTTCTAATCTTCTCATGTGTTGACATTTAACAAAACTGAAGAACTAAATGCACAAGATTGTTTGCTCTTTGCATCACCAGGAATATTTGCCCCTTGCTGACATGATCCATTCCTGGCTTTACTATTTATTATGTATCCAAAAAACTTACTTTTTTTCCAACTACCAGTTATGAATTCCCTTTGACATTCATTTTACAAAAGCCTGCATTTAGGGTGAAGAGAAGGCATCCCTTCCAGCAGGCTATGGATTTGATACCTATTGCTTATAAATACATGCATTTTTCTCAGGAACTGAACCAAATGTACATCAGAATCTTCTGGTTATGGTGATAGCCTAGAATAGCCTAGATAGATAGGCTACAGAGATAGCCTAGACAGCAAGCTCTCCTGGTTATGGTGATAGCCCAGAACTTGGAAATATATTTACATTTAGATAAGCAAATTCTGTACAGACATTTTAATACCATGCTTTCTTATGAGTTCCTTCTTTAAATGCCATGCATGTACGGTTGGCTTACTTATCCAGGATTCTAGATGGCCAAAATCGCCTCCAAGTCAAACATACCTTAAAAATCAACTACTTTGCAGTACAGGTGAGAAAAGAAAGAAGAGGGGAGAAACCTGCCATCTTTACTTTCAAAGCACTTTCATCTTGCTGTGGTTTTATTACATATTCTGGCTTCCAGAGACAGCACAGCCATGTATATAACTGAAAAGCTTGGCAGTTCAAACATTTACTTTGAAGGTAGACTTGGGGTTAAATTTCTGTGCCTTTCTTCCAGTGAACATAATATTAAATATTTAAACAATAATTAGATCAGGGACTGCAACTGAGGTTTCCCTCTTCATTTGTGGATGACAAAACCAGTGCTGCATCATCAATATTTTTGTTTCTTCTCTTTTTTTTCCTCATTCTTGTTTAATGAATATTTAATTGTTGCATATAATCATTCAGTGGGAACTGGGCAAAAAAATTTTCTCCCACTCCCATCTCTAACCTAACCAAGTGCAAGGGTAGCCTCTCCTCTCTAGAATATAGGACATAATTGTTCGAATCTATCAGAGAGAAACGTTAGGAAAAAATTTCTTCCAGTGTCTCAGTTAACTTCTCTCACCACTGCACTAAAAAAAGATAAAAGTTGACCAGCACTTAAGGCATAAACCCTGCTGGAAATAATAAATACATTTCAGGCTTCTATATTCAGAGCAAGTGCAGAAGCAAGATGTTGGGAATGGCTCATTGCCCTAAAAAGTAATAACTAATCATGGTGTGTAAAAAATGGCAGCCTTAAAATACTCCTCCACCCTCCCCGTAGTATTTTCTAATTTATTTGTCCTGTGACCTATGTAAATACATGCCTGCCACTTTCTGTAAATACTGTAAACGCTGAATGTCAGATTTACCTTCTGGATTCAACTGTGATGCCGAGGCACCCAAATTCTTCTGTACTATCTACTTTTTGACACAGTTCCCTAATCTAAAAGTGGGAGATTAGTATCCTTCTACCAAGAAGGGAAAAGAGCCATGTTAATAATAAGGTGCTATGGAAAAGAACACATTTCAACATCGTGGAGTGTTCAGTTACTCTGATGAGCAGTCCTGTAGCTACCCAAGGGAGACAAACACAAGGAAATTGAAAAGTACCTTTCCTTTGATTCTCCTTAGACTTCTAGGATTAGTTCTAAGAACACATATTTTCCAAAACAGTTCAGGGGCTCGTGGTTCCCCAATACTCTTAGAAAAGCACTTTGTACCTTACAAACATATTTTCTGAACAGGTATTCTACTATGACTATGTATTCTGTGACACATTAATTGCTGCATTGTTACTGTAGAAAGAAGCACTGGTCAGATGGCCCCACAGTGTTTAGTAGCAGCAGTTACTGAAATACAAAAAAATACAGCTATATACTAGAAGTTTGTGATTTAAATTGAAATATATACAATGTGTTGTTTGGGAAGAGAAGGATGAAGAATGTGTACTACAACTTCTGTAGCTCTTAACCATGTAAGAGGTCACAAGATCCAATCTAGAAGTATTACATTAGTATTCCCATTTTGCAAATACCTACGTCAAATTTGTGATGGGTTCACATCACCACCATTTGATACAATTTCAAGGACATGCTCCTTTTGTACAGTCACAAATTTCAAGGACATGCTCCTTTTCGACAGTCACTTAATACTTCTTTTTCTTTTCTTCTTTGAACAAGTATTTGGGAAATATTTCCCCTTTCACACATGCAACATGAAAAGAAATGCGGTACAAAAAAAAAAAAAGATAAAGCATATAAAAGAAAATTAATGCAGACAGGTAAAAATCTATAAAAGATTTTATAGCAGATATACAAGTAAAAGATGAAGTGAGGTCAGCAGAAGATAATGACAATGAACAGTGCAAATTTTAAGGAGAATTATGCATGGTAGAAAGAGAAATTGTCAGCCATTAAGGACTGTCTCAGTGTTGCACTGAAGAATCCTCTTCCCAAGTTGGGATACTTGCATTAAAATGCCCAGAGAAAAAAAATGTCTAGACAAAAAAAATATCCCATCCTCAATGACTGCAATACATGTTATATTTAGTAGCTATTTTTTGCTATGTAAATAATCCATACTTGATCACATTCTCATAAAGATGGTGAACAATAATTATTTATCGTAAAAGATACAATAAGAAAGCCTTATGGCTTCCAGGTAAGCAAAGTGTTCTCCTGTATGCAACTCTATTCCAAAAATATCTCTGAAAAATAAAGAATTCTATGGCTCCATGCGTACTGCCTTTCAATTACTCTTTATCACGTACACATTTTCATTTTAATGCAACCCTACAAATTAATCCAGCGACCACAGTAATCTAGGATCTCTCTCTGTTGTGCATTTATCAAATATGCCCTCAGTAACATTGTGAAATTCTGAAATCAGTGAAACTGAATTAAGTAAATAAATCCTGTTGTCAAAAGGACAGCCAGGGGTGGCATCTCTATAGAAGTTATCTAAAATGACAGTCTGCAGCTGACCCAGGGAGAAGAGATTGCACCCAACTCCCTTTCAGCTTTACATCCCACAGCAGTGACCAGGGATAAAACTTACACTCTCAATATAATATCTCTTATATCTCAATGTAATATCTTGTATCTCAATATAATATCTCTTATACTGCAAACTTATACTCTCAATAAATCACCCTGTCTCAATGCGGCTACACAAAATGTAGAGCTCCAATCATTTAGAACCTTCATTTCTAAAATGGTAGAGTGTAGAAAATAATAATTGGTAACGATTCACCTTTTTATCTTACTACAGCCCTTGGAAAGAAAAAGCTAATCAAAGATGGAGAAGATAAGGGGGAAAAACCTACTATCATTTTCCCCCACCATGAAGAATATACTTAGACCTATTTAATAGCTCAGTAAGTGTATGACTTGTACCCTGAATTATTACAAACCTTTTCCAGAGAAGTCTGGTGCACTTACTATTTTTTTTTTTTTTTTAAAGTAACACAAGACAAATTAGAGAGTAACAGGGGCCAAACTGTGTCAGATCAAAGGTCCATTAGTTTAATATCCTGGTAACAGCCAGTGATGCATGCTACAAGAAAGAACAGAGGCAGAGCAAACTTACACCTTATTACATTTTAATGTCATCAACAGGAACAGAACTGGTAACAGAGCGTGCTACTCTTCCAAAATGCTGTATTCTTTAGTCTTTTCTTCTACCAAGTGCACTGATGTTAAAATACAAGATAGATTTGGTTACAGGAGAGTTTGTCTCATAGTAAACATTGCTGGCACAAGACACAGACTTAAAGCAAGTGCATGTGCTGTCCAATATCTAATTTTGTTGGTTCTTTGTATTTCCAAGCTGACACAACCTAGCCCAAGGCTCACAGGATTACTGCTTAAGCCCCTACTGGCTAATAGATGACCTGCTCCAGCTCAGGAAGTGTATCACTGCCTCACCTAAAAGAAGAAAGCGGTACGTAGGCAGCTGCGTAACTTCTTACTTCAATAATAACAGTGCTGCCAGCTTCACTTTTCAGTATCTAAAAAAACTACACAAACCTCAGCCAATTCTGGTTTTGCACAAAACCAAATCAAAATTTTAAAAATTAAGACTCCACCCAGACTACACACACTGGAAGATAAGGACCTACCTCCAGAATATCTATCAGGACATTCTCTTCTGGCTGCTTTGTGCTCCGGACGTTCTCCAGCAGGATGGAGTAGTAAACACCTTGGGGGTCAGACTGGTACAGGTTGTACGTGTCTGTCTGGTACCACTCCTGAACAGCCACAAACACCTGGTTTTCATCTGTACTGATTATCTGTAAATCCTAACAAAAAATGAGATACAAAATAACTAATTTTCCCATAATTTCTATTTTACAAACAATACGTTGGCCAGGAGAGTTGAATTCCTGGAAGAAGAGAAGAAGGATGCATATGAAAGTTCAGTGACAGTAATATCCCAACGTAATACTAATCAACATGCTGTACCCCACCCCTCCGGGCTGGTCAGTCACTCCTTTCTAGCTACAGGTTATCAGAGTGCAAACCAGCTTAGCGAAGACCAAAAATCATGAATGCGCAAAAGCTGTGATCTGCTTAGACTTTTGTGGAAAATGACATAATGAAAAGAAGGAAAAGATGGAAAGGGGAGGGGGGAGGCACAGATTTTCTAAGATCTGGGTGAGAGTCAATGAAAGACTCAAACAAAGCTAAACTAAAAAAAATTATAATCCTCAGGTACCTAGACAATTAAGAACTATTTTGTCCGAAGTGAAGCATAACATAGCACAAAGAGCATCATTTGCAGCAGTTACACATAGGAAGTGGTACATATCATGCCCACAGCTCATGTATTCTGTAGTACATAATGCTGATTTATCTATGTAGACAGGTCCACCTAAATATTCAAGAGTAATAACATGAGAGTAAACATTCTGCATTCATTTCTCAAGAATTTCAGATGCGGATATTGCAATAGCTTTCTCTCAGTTTTCCCAGCTTCTTCACTCCAAACTTCCCAGAGAAAAAATGCACAGCTGGGGAAAATAATTTAACATTAACGTTAAACAGAAGAAATAAATCAGGAACTAGCAACACTGAACTAAGCTTAGCAAACAGGAAAAAAGGACATCAGTTTGCAATAGGATACGGCAGCATAAAGGCAGACGTGGAGGCTACATATGAAATGACAACTACTCACACAGAGTGAAAGCTTGTAAATTCTTTATGACCTTGGTGCTTAATCGAGAAACTATACAGTTCCCGTCACCTTATTACTGGAAAAATAGCTAAGGCAATGGAGTGGATATTGAATGAAGCTACCAAAATGTCAAGAGAATATGAGTTTTGGAAAAGTTTGCTTAAAAAAAAAAAGAGATATCAAGAAAACAACTTTGTAGAACTCTAAGAGAAATAAACCAAATTGCGTACGAATCCAGCTAAGGCTGAAGAAAACGTAAGTAACTGAAAAACACTGAACGTTCGGCAAAGCACGGCAGTCACGCTTTAGGCAGCATGCATGATGCAATTGAGTCAGATTAAAAAAAAAAAAAAATAAAGTGAATACAATAGAATTTTTTTTTAAATGAGAAAAGGATGTTTATTAAATAACTAAATGTAAATAATTAAATAATTAGATGTAAAGCATTTTTCCATATTTGACACATCTCAACACAATAGAACCTAAGCGAAGTTTCCTATCAATGACAGCTCAATGCTGTTTTTAAAGACTTTATTGTTGAACTGTGTAGTAAAGAACATTTTTGTTTAGCATCCTGTTAATAGACGTCTTTTCTCTTGTACTCAGAAATTACTCAGAAGCAGAGTGTCTTCCAGAACTTTAATTTTTTCCATCTGAGTATGAAATAGTAACTTTTCTGACACAGAAATGCCAGCAGAATACAGTAACTGATCCAAACAATTCCTGTAAAAAGCTTCTTACATATACAGAACCCCTGATCTCCTGCCTTAAATATATGGCTGGATAAGCCTACATTAGGCCACATCTAACACTGAATTCACCTTTGCTTTTGCAGTGTGAGAAAAAGTCCCATGATTACCCATTATTTAAGAATGGAAGTGAAGCAGGGACTGAAGTGAGGAGCAATGAAACAGTTCAATTCATGTAAAAACCCCTAGAAAACCCTTACTCCTGTGATGCCAGGAGCTTTCAGCAAAATTATCATCTACTTATTATGCTCTATCATCTTCGTAACACAATACAACATTTATACAGTGCCATAAGCAAACACAAAACTCCAGTGAATGTGGGTAAGGTGCCCTCCTTGCTCAGGTGCTGGCGGGGCAGCCATGGTTGTACGGGTGGCCAGTGGTGGCACAGGCGAGAGCTGGGAGGAGGACGGGCACAGTTGTGGTCCTCCTGCTTCAGGGTGGAGTAGGAGATGCTGGTACAACGCGGAGAGGTACAGGGTGTGGTGCAGAAGGACAGGAAGACCAATTATGGCCAGTCTGGAGTCTTGTGAAAGAAAGAGGGATTGGACTAGAGCCATTTACAGCAACAAATGAGAGTTTACTTTTCCCTGGGCAGTGACTGTTACCAAAAAAGAGGTCTGCAAACTCAAACTGGAAGATTATGAGTTTCTTCTGCGGCAACAATGTAACAGATACTGGGTTTAGGAAGTGAAATTCACCTTCTGCTGCCTTGAACTTTGTTCCTTCCATTCAGAATTTATACATTCAGACTTCCAGTTCAGCCTTGCCACTATTTTCCTTTCACAGGGACTTCTTTTCCCTCAAGAATCAAACCTATCCTGGAAAGCTGAACTTAAAGAGGAAGAAGAAATTGATTGATAAATACAGAGGCTGGGGCTTTGGTGTGCCAAGTCCAACCCTTCTGCCCAAGTACCCACTTCTCACCAGATAGGAAGCACAGGAAGATGGGACGTCAGCAAATACTGCTAGACAAAAATTACTGTCATTTAAGAGTTAACTAGCAAGGACATCTGAGGAAGAAGAAATATCTTGATTGAGAGAATAGAAGTTTTTATTACTTTATCTAATTCATGGCCACAGATACTACCTTAGGCTGTAAACTCAGCAGATCCTATAAGGAAAGCATTTATTCTTTGATGATTTCATGCTTGGACTACTGCAATTGCCTTCTTGGTGGACCTCCTGCTTTCTTTTCTCCACATTCTGCAGGCTACTCAAAGTCATGCTGATCATCTAATTTCTCTGTAATTATGCTATTCACACATGATTTATTCAAATTAATTTATAAAGATCTTTACTGATATTAGCGATTTTCAAGACTTGGAACATACTTTATTGTCACTGCTTAGATTTTTGTTTATCTCCAGGCTACTTTTTTTGTATAAATTCAGTATTTGAACTCTTGTTCTCTCCTTCCATTTTCATGCTCAAATGAGAGAGTCTGTAAGCTTTCAGCACCCCTACATCTACCAGGGCAGAATTTTTTCCCAATTTGCTGTAGCAAACGTGTTGTTTCCTCTGTGGCATACATATTCCTCCTCCTTTCTGTTGTCTCCACCACTTTATTTCCACTCTGTCTAGTCTGCCATGTCTGCCCTGTTCCATATCTTCCTGATCCAAGCATCCATGCTCTTGCCAGTCTCACTTCTCTCTCCCTCTTTTTTTTGTTTTGTTTTTGTAAATCTCACCAACAGCAGTTCATGTCAGCAATAGACTGTGATTCCCAAATAGCAGTAATTCTCCATTTACTTTCTCTCATCTTCTTAGCTTGTAAGCTTTTGTACAGTTCTGAGATGCTACTAGCTCCAAACCACCTTTTTTAATCTCTAAAACCCCATGAGATTTCTCTGTTCTGTTTGCTAAGGTGCTTCTCATGCACTATATTCTGTGAACTCCTTTGTCACAATGTTTCCCTCATCCTCCTCTCTTTACCGGGTGATGTTATACCACACCAAACACAGATATCTGTATGTTCATCACTAAAAATCTGTGGAACTACTTATAGGCTCAAGACAGTGAACCAACACAGGGCCAAGGACCAACCCAAGGTTGCACCTATAGGTGCAACCAAAGAAGCCTGCAAAGTGCCCTAAAATCCACTATGCAATCAAGTCCACTGGGCCATTTCTCTGCGTAGTAGAAAATGTACTCTCATTTCTCTGAGAGTACACAGAAAACAGCCTTCAAATAATGTAAACAGCCACCCCAAGGAAAAGAGAATAAACTCCTAAGGCTACTTGGAGTTAAATACTGGGTATAAATCAGTGTGAAGGAGATTTAGGTTAGACATCAGAATATCCTTCTACAGTGGGGCCTGGTCATATACACAGATGATAAAATGCTTAGAGAGACAAAGTAATCTTCATCCTCAGGAGTTGTTAAAAGTAGATTAGACAACCACCTGTCAGGACTGTTTTAGGCAGATGACCAGGCTTTGGAAAGGGACCTCTCAAGATCCTTTCCATGTCTATTGTTTATGACCCTGTGAAAACAAAGGAAAATAAAAGCAAACCTTACTGAGATTACTTGAAATGTCACACATATAAACAGAAATATAATTTAAAAGACAAATTTTTGGAGAGGTTTTTTTGTTTGTTTTGAATTCAAGAGCTATACTTTCTCAAACATGCTACAAAAAATAAACAATTTAAAGAAAAATATGAATTTCAACATGATCATGGAATTAGAACTAAGGGTAGCTGGAAATCTGTTGAATCAGAATGACTTTTCTACAAAAATGCTAAATGACTCGCGGAAGTGATCAAAGACTAAGTATTAAAAATGGGTATGATTAAACAAGGCATCCAGCGACAGGTCACACCACTCATGCTGTCAGGGAGTTACGAACTGCTGTTGTTTGTATCTTACAGCAGTAGCAAAGAACACAATTGTTCAAATAAACACAGACTTTTCAAAGTCATACGAGAAATAATTAGACATGTATAGAAGGCCAAATTGTGCCAAAAGATAAGCACCACTTGAAAGAAATTTCATATCACATGGACAGACTAGTCTGTTAAAATAAGTGTCTGAGGGTGTGTGAGTGACACTGAAAGAACTGTGCATGTTGAGCCATGCAATGGAGAGCAAGCACCCAAGAACTCTTCCAGAAAGTAGAGAGGAAGGATCAAATATTACTTTTTCTAAAAAACATCCACACTGCTTGAGAATTTAAAAAAAAAAAAAAGATACCAACATGATCAGTCTAATATTTTTCCCAATTTTCTCTGCCTCTAATGGTGCTGTTTAGTCTGGGTTCACAGAAGGTGAAATGAACACCAAATTTAAGAACAAAAATTTTTTAAAAATCAATCAAGAAGCCGAAAAGCATTAAATAATTAAAAGAGTTGGGAGTTGGGGAAACTGAGGACAGAAGGGAAGAAGGAAAGAGGTTTAGAGGAGGAAGGCAAAAGAAATGGTATGTTTTCACTGTACACAGTCTCATACCATCCACAGTTACTTACTCACTAGCCTCTAAGTCTGCTAATACTTTGTAGAATTTTATATTCAAGAAATGCTCAATATGGTTTTCTAGCTTACTACATGTGATAAGAAACCCTATGATACGAATAAATACAATTACACCCTGAAGAGAGAAGGATATAAAAGATAACAAGGATCATACAGCAAGACAGTGCTCTTTTGTGTAGTAAAATGTGCTGATAACATAGAAAATATGAGTAAGTGAAAACACTGTAGGCAAGGCTCAGCATAGCTGGTATAACATTATGCAGGCAGGACTGTGGTGTTTTAGTCAATGAGGCAAATGAAGAACCTCAAAATTCCTAATCTTCAAATCTTAGAATTTTCAGTGCAATGTCAGAATTTTGAGCCTCTGCAATCTTTAAATGCTGTGGTTGGACAATGCGTTAACCTGAAGCAGGTGATAAATTAAAGAGAATCACGAGGAGTAAATATATCAGAAGCCCAACAGATTTAAGCACTCAAGGCTGCGTAGTCTCAGCCCTGACCTCCAGTTGCACCACACATTTATAACCTTGTAATCTCTTAAATACAATCAAGGTAACTGGATGGCACATATACCAAAGATAATCTCCCTAATCTTCCTTGCCTGGCTGAGTAAAACGGTGCAAGGAGAGAAATCAATACTAAGTTACACTGTGAAGAAAAGAACAGTTCCTTGAATCCACCTCAGATGGATTTGTACAACCAAGGAGCCAGGCAGATGCTACAGATCAGATTCACTAATGCCGTGGAACTACTAGGGAAAGGAATATTTGTATTGCATCAAATGCCACTGCTGCTACCTGTATTTCTATTTTGCTTTCCTTTATTCTTTGTTCAACAGCCATTCCAATGGACTTTTAGAAGGGTGGAGAAGTAGTTCTGCTGCAACTGCAAACTGCTCTTCTGCCTATGCCTGTCCTAAGTGATGGACAGCAGAGGTGCTGAAAGGGCTACCCAAGTGGAGAAACAATTACTGGGAGACTAAGAGCCTTGCCAAATGAGCTCTCAGTACTTCATAATCCAACCATCACACAGCCAGAGCCTCAAGACAACTTTGCTGACAAAACGGCTGCAGCAGCCTTTCCTTCCATTTCTACTGTTAATGAATGGACCCTTTTAAGGAATCCTTGAAAATTTACAGTAGGAAGGAGCTTGACAGAGAAGAGAATACATGCTTCGAAAGACTGATGGCTATACAGGAAAAAAGAATAAAACTGCTCAAAATATTTCACTCTTGAGAGCGTTAGATCCATTACTGGATGATACAGACAAGTTAGGAAGAAAACCTGTGGTTAAAATAGCGATGTATATCTCAGACTGAGGCAAGGAAGAGGTGAGCCTGTTTTGAGCCCCTCAGAAGAGCACTAGGGGATCACAGAATCATAGAATGGTTTGGGTTCCCTCCCTTCCTTCTGCCTGATGGCAAGAGGATATGGGATCCACTGCTGCTTGTGGGGTCTCCATCTGCTACCTTTGCCTCAGGGATGGTAGGGTTTGGCTCCACCAATCCATCTCCCTCTTACACTCTCTGATACTCCTCAGCCTTTCTACTTCCTTCTTCAGCTCTGCCACCAGCAGAGCAGATCATCCCCATGGTCAGCCCTCACACAGGGGCTCTCTCCGCTGCCCTTGGGTACGAATGACAGGCTCAGGCACTCCCTGCAACCAGAGAGCTGAGCGGGACCCACCACCTGGGTCAGCATGTTTTTCCTGGTGATGGCTTTCGGCCGAGTGGCCACCAAAGTGGGGCCCTGCCCGCATGTCTCGCTTGTGCAAACTGCCACCTCACGCCCTTCTGATGCACCACGCTGTGGGTCGGTCGTGCTCCCTGGGGGCCTGCTCTTGTATGTGAGGGGGTTGGCGTCAGCCTTCACTCTTGTCCCTGCACGCACTGAGTCAGAGCCACCTCTCGTCAGCAGCTCCCTCTTCCTGCTTTTCCACACCATACCTTTTCAGAACCAAACTTTCTGAAACGCAGTAGGATACAACAGACAATAGAGCTCTTCCATCATTAGGATTGTGTAGCTGGCATGAACAAATACAGAATCAATGAATGTCTTGTATCAGTTCATAAAAGGAGACCATTATCAATGGAGATTATTTACCAGAGGTGAGCAGGGGTGTCAGAATAATTTAATTCTTCCAAATTTCAATAGTAATTGAAATCATGGGCTCACCATTATTTGTAGCAAATTCTTTGGTTTGGTCAGAAATTTCGTTAACGATTTTTCACTTAAGCTGTCAGAATGAACTATTTCCCAGTTTTATTGTTAGTCACACTGGAGCATGACTCAGTAAGGTCCTGAATAAAGACCAGAAGCCAACGTACTCCTTTCTCCACACAACACTTCTCTAGGCAAGGGCAATCAGAGCTGCAGGCACAATACAAGTGTGATGACTCCCCAGCATCTTGTGCCCCGTGGCAGATCTGGCTCTCCCAGCAGCTGGGCTGAACCCCTGCTCCAGGCTGAAAACAGCACAAGGGGGATCATTTGATCTCCCTAATCCTCCCTGGAACACACCTGTATGCCTAGCCACACATTTCACAGCGCAAATGCAATCCCCTGCTTGATACTGCTATTCATTTTCAATGAGTTACTGATTCCTGATCTAGCTTTAGCAACAGAGAACAGGCAATCTCGGTAAAATAGAATATAGCATAAAAACCAATTCAGTTTCAAAACAATTGCTCCGATTTCCCCTTCTGTTTCAGGGAGCATACAGGCAGCCTTTAGCATGGACTCACCAACCTTTGCTACCACTCTCCCTGGCAGCAGCCGGCACAACTGGCTCCTGTCAAATGCAGGAGACAGTTGTGTGATTCAATGTAATCATCACTATCAAACACGCTACTTTTAGCAGCCTTTGATTCACATGTAAGGAGGCCTTGAGATATGTCCAAAGACAAACATTTAGGAAAGGAAACATCCTTTCCTAGTTTCACTCTGGGAGTACAATTGAACAAACATGGATCCATATGCAAACAATATAAAAAAAACCCTGGTTTGTTGTTCCCCCCCCCTCCCCTCAGGTTTTCAACTTCTTATCAAAAGGAAAACAAGGCATCAATAACATTTTGTAATTACTCAGCCTGAAAATGCTCATTCTATCTCCATACATAAAATCACCGTGAAACACATCTGTGCTGCAGCAGAATAGTATCTGAAGAGCCCAGCACTATTCCCCGAGGCTGGAGCCTGGTTTTCCAGCACAACTCTCCTAACACTGTTAGACATATCCTTGACCAGCCTGCAGTATCTTCTGACTCAGCTACGGTTCTCCTTCTGTGTACACAATCACTGCACAAAAACTCTGGACAGTGACATCAAGCTTCATTCAATTCCTTTGAGAAAAATGAAACAC